GGGGGGCGGAATACGCGGCCGCGCAGAACCGGCGCTGGCGGTGCGCGGGTGCTCTGCAGTGGGGAACCGGCACTGCTGGGGGAGCAGAACTCCAATGGAGAAGCTTCGGCCAGGAAATAAGGAGAAGAGGTGGAAAGAAGAATAATAGAAATTAAAAAAAAAAAAGGGGGGGGGGAAATAAAAATAGAAATAATGATAATGAGAAGAATAATAAAAATCATCATCATCATCAAAATGAGAATAATAATAACAATGAACATAATAATAATAAAGATGGACATAATGATAAAAATTAAAACGGCAGAAAAATAATAAAAATAATAAGAAGAAAAAGCAAACCAATAACAGGATAATAATAAAATTCAGCATCATAATAAAAAATTCAAACAAGAACAACAGAATAAAAAAATCAACATAATGATAAAAATAAAAACAGTAATAACAATGAAAAGAATAATAAAAATCACCATAATATTAAAAATCAAAATAATAACAATGGAAATAATAAAAATCATCATAAAAATCAAAACAATAGTAACAATGAAAATAATGAAGATCACCATCATCATAGAAATCAAAATGACAAGAACAAAATACTAATAAAAATCATCATCATCATCAAAATCTAAACCAAAAATAACAATGTAAGGTTCTTAAGAACATCTTGTGGCCCATTTCCTTGCACCCTCCTCAACTTGGGCACCATCCATCATCCACTCCGCTCACCTCGGCCATCTCTGCATCTCAAACTACCTCACATTCACCTGTGACCCAGCCCAGTTGGATCAACAGATTGAAGAAGAAGGAAAAGAAATGTCCTGGGACCGACAGGGTTTGAGGCTGGCTGAGGTCCTCCTTCGAATGTTAGACTAGTCCCGAGCCCTGCAGAAGACTTGTTGGTCTTCAGAAGGTAGATCAGCTTTTAAACTGTAAACTAAGCTGAGAAAAAAGCAGCTGTGACACTTCAGCCCCCGGCTCTCCTGGGCAGGAAGCGTTCACTGTGGTCTCTCCCGCAGGAAGGACGAGGACAAGTTCAAAATACACCGTGGACAGAGACCAGAGAGGAAGATGAGGCAGAGGAAGGACCTGAACAGACCTGCCAGACTCAGTTCCACGCTCCCTTTCTGTGCAGCGTAACAAATGGAGCCCATCAGTTGGGGAAGATTTACTCACAAAAAGGAGTTTTTTTACAGAAAAGTATCTTGTTGGTGGCAATTCTCCTCCCCTAGCCCTGCTCTTCCAGAAGAAGCCCACTGGGATTGAGAAGTCCTAAAGACAGCAGCTCCTGGGAGCAGGGACCAGCCTCCCTTCACCCCCTGGAGAAGATACTCAGGCTCCTCTTGCTCGTATGTTATGATTTAGGGGTCTCAACACCCTCAAGTCTTGCAGGATCCTTGCTGGATTTGGGCCCCATCCCTCCACATCCCTGGACAATTCTGCTCTTTAGTGTTGAAACCAGGAATATTGAGCCCAAATTCCAGTTATCATTTCATACCTACTATGGATCCTCGAGCATCTCAGTAGAGTTTGAAACAAAAGAGCTCTCAAGATGTCACCTTAATAGCAGTGAGGGTACAATTCCTGTGCTGGAGATGCTGTTAATGACTTTAAAAGAGCTTGAAGAACATCTCCCTCCCGCCCGGCTCCCTGGCTCATTGCAGAAATACAGATCAAATGGAGAACTTGCTAATGCGGGCACACACCTTTCTTTGATCTTCCTAATGAAAAACCAGACAGGGTTAGAATATCTATTAACTAGTCCTCTATGAAACATGACTTTGCACTGGATGTGAACACGAGAAGTGCCATCGCTGCTGTCGGTGTCACCGTGAGCCGCGGTGACCCGGTTAATGTGATGTGAAACACGACAGCCCGGCTGAACCCCGAGTTTCACCCGGAGGGTATTTCACAGGGGCTGTAATTTCCCAGAGCAGATGAGCCCCAGGAGAAGCTGCGTTTCCCACAGACACCTCGGGATGAGGAGTTGCAGTGACCTGACAAATCTATCACAGCGTCACAGAATCACCTCAATTGGAAAAGCCCTTTCAGATCACTGAGTCCAACCATGAACCCAACACTGACAAGTCCCCTGTGACTAACCCATGTCCCTCAGCACTGTGTCTACACGACTCTTCAATCCCTCCAGGGATGGGGACTCCACCACTGCCCTGGGCAACCCCTTCCAATGCCTCAGAACCTTTTCAGCAAAGAAATTCTTCCTCACATCCCATCTCAACTGCCCTGAGCACAACTGGAGCCCATTTCCTCTTGTCCTGTCCCTTGGTCCTTGGTTGAACAGACCCACCCCCACCTCTCTCCACCCTCCTTGCAGGTTCACTGATTTGTTTTAAAATAATGGGGGAAAAAACAGCAGATCTGACCCTACAGATCACCAGCCATGAAACAGCTGGTGGGCAATGGTTGATGTGGTGGCTATGACACCACTAAAGGGATTTATTTATCCCTCTCCCTTTAGGAACTGCAGCACCCTGGAGTGCTTTACCCAGGGTGAAGGGGAGGAGGGTGAAAGCTCTGGAGCAGGAACACCCAGTTTGAACCAGTTAACCTCTCCTGTGGAATGGAAATCCTCCTCTGGATGTTGCTCTCCACAGATGACCAGGACAGGAGCCCTTGAGCCGGCAGCAACACGTTAGTAAGGGGAATTGCAGAACCACCATGGCTAACCAGGGTTTGAGAGGCAAAGGGGAAACAGTGACAGCATGCGAAGGTCTCCGGGCTCTCCAGCAGCCTGGGTTAATCCCGTGTTAATCAGGGAGCAGCGCAGAGGAGGAGCTGAATTAAAGAGAATTCAAACAAAGGCAGAGGGGAGGTGGAGGAGGAAGCACCCGCAGAGCTGCAGTCAGGACCTGTGCTGTGGTGCAGGGCTCTGGGCTGGGTGGCATTGCTCCCTGAGGGACAGGGTCACCCCCTCTCTCCAGGTAACATATTAATGAGACACGAAGGGAGCTCTGTCCAGATTCATAATGGGTTAAAAAATGGTGCTTGATGTCATTACTCAAAAGGTGAGTGGGGAGTTTGCTGTTGCACAGCACCCCGAGGTGCTGGATGTGGCCGCAGAGACCTGAGCTCAGGTGGCCTGGCCAGCAAGGTCGGTGGCCACACACACTGTTGGGACACTGGGGCTGCACTTTGGGGTTCAGCTTTGGCTAAACTAAAGGATTTCAGTCACTGACAGCTGTGTAAGCACACGAAGCAATCCTTTACTTCCAGTTCTTGCTCAAGTCCTCAACACATTGGTATAAAAACATGCTGTGAAGACCTCTGTCCAGGCTGGAGCCTCTCCATGCTTTGGTGCTCAGGTCCAGAAGCCCCCCAGGAGTTTTTTCTGCCTGTCTGTGTTTGCAGACCCCCTGAGCCAGGTAGTGCTTAGTTCCTGCCCTAAACTTTGCTATCACCCGGCCATGTCCCTTCCCTAGAAGCCCAAGGCACAGGACACTCGCTCTTGCTGCTTCAGGCTCCCCCACCTCGTGGTGGCTACTGCAACCAGGGCCAAGAAGAGGGATATCTTGAAACACATGGTCCCCTCCAGGATAAATAGGAAAAAGAAACCTGTGAACTACTCACTGCTGGCCCTTGGCTGCTCTTTATGCAACAGGAAATCTTTAATGGGGGGAAAAAAACCCCACATCAGGGTCACAGAGGTCTCCACTCTGAAAATAAGCTTTTCACACCAAGGAAGTCCATCATCCAAGGAACACTTACAGCATGACACCAACATTACCCCACTGGGGTAAAAAAAAACCAACCCAGGGTGCAGACTGACCCTTGCAGCTCAGACAACAACTCCTGATGACACCCAGAGAAAACCCCATCCCCGCGTGGCCGGAGCAGCCCCCGTGGCGCTGGGATGGCTGCAGGAGGATGCAGGGAGCCAAACCCGCTTGCCCAGGAGGAACCCAGCAGCGAGGAGATGCTGATACACACCTGCACGGGCCGCACCAGTCCGTTTGTTGGTTGAGGCCAAAGCGAGCTCTGCATTTCTTAGGAGAGGCAGGATCTGAAGACAGAAGCATGCGGGGCAGAGAATGGGCAAGGCAGAGGCACAAAGAGGAAGAGGAGGAGGAGGAGGAGGAGGAGGAGGAAGAAAAGAGGCAACATCATTTTAGCCACTTGAACACACGACTAACAGACTACAGTCCAATTTTTTCTTATTTTTTCTTTTTTTTTTGTGTGTTTTTCTGCAACGATGCCAGCACCACCTCTCCTGGAAAAAAAGTGATCATTAGGCAAATATCAGTGATCACCACTGGCAGCTGGAGAAGAAGGAGGTTGGAAAAACAACCTCAGCTCTGGGAAATACGGGCAATTATGAAGAAATTCATAAATCTTTGAATTTCTTAATAAATCTTTGAATTCTTAATTTAAATCTTTGAATTTCTTTCTTAATTTCTTAAATTTTCTTAAGAAAAAACCTGCCAAATCCCAGAGGTGCTGCCTGCCTCCTTGTGTCTGCATCCTTACCTGCTCCCTGCCTCCAAGTGTCTGCATCCTTACCTGCTCCCTGCCTTTCCAGCAGCGACTAAACTGGGCTGCCAGTGAGCTCAGATGGAAAAGAAGAGGAGGAAAGGTTGCAGAAGCAGGCTGGAAGCAGAGTTAGCACCACCGAGACCCAGGCCCAGGTTATTCTACTCTGTCCCCCACCATTCCCCTCCCAGTTTCACTGGGAAAACTCTTCTCTGTGGCCTTTACTAAAATATTGCTGTTTTTCTGGATAATTAGGGTGAAGCTCTGTTTGCTTTCATGGGTTTTTTTTTTCTGGAGGGTTATAAATGGGATTTGAACAGCACATTTCTGCACTGGATTCACGCTCCCTCTTTCAGCCACCACTGCTGTCTCCTGTGGTGTAGGACCAGCAGTTGGTTTTTCACTCCACAATGGTTGCAAATATTGTTTTGGTATCACACAGACAAGATATATATATATATGTCTTCTAAATGTATATGTAAATATACATATTCTACATCTCAGACTGAAAGCTTGTATTCCCTGTATCAATCTAGGCACTGAACCAGATCAACAGCATTAACTAAACTGAAACTATCACTGGGACACGTGCATGGAATTGCTTTTTATAGACAACTCCAACAGGTCATCCAACGGCCATTCATTAAATTAATGAGATCATCTGAACTTTATAAATTAATCCAGGCTGTGGGAGCTGGTGGCACGGATGTATAATCCATGGCAATAACACCAGAGCTGGACTCCAATGTCCCAGGTGATGACTGAACCACCCAGATGCAGCCAGCTGTGCACCTTGGTGTCCCCAACGCAGGTGTGACAGGTCTTTGCATGGTGCAAGGGCAGGAAAGCAACAGGCTGACCTGGCACCCTCCCCAGGGAGCATTTCTGGAGGGACTAAGAACTAGTGTTTCTCTTAGAAAACCAAAGCCTATCATCATCTGACTGATTTAATTTCATCTAAAATTAAATAAGAGCAATGAGCTGTAACAAACTGATACACTGCAGATGGGGAAAGCTCTTTGGACATCTATAGGCAACTCCAGGATGGACATACTGGAATAAACAGGCTGTCTAACTTCACGTAGATGTGATGCCATGGTGGGGCAAGGACAGTCTCTCAGTGTTTTATAATGAATATTTAATGGAACAGGTATTATTAATTCCTGATATGGCAGCAATGCTTCAGGAACCATAGAATCATAGAATGGTTTGGGTTGGAAGGGACCTTAAAGCTCATCCAGTCCCAACCCCCCTGCCAGCAGCAGGGACACCTTCCACTAGACCAGGTTGCTCAAAGCCTCATCCAACCTGGCCTTGAACACCTCCAGGGAGGAGCAGCCACAGCTTCTCTGGCCAACCTGGGACACTGTCTGACCACCCTCACAGTGAAGAATTTCTTCCTAATATCTCATCTAAACCTCCCCTCTTTCAGCTTAAACCCATTTCCCCTTGTTTTGTCATTAACTGCCCTTATGAAACATCCTTCCTTGGACGGTGGGAAAGCGTGTGACCAGCTGAAATCTGTCAAACAGGTCTTTTCTAATCAACCCTGTGGTGCAGGGAGGCAGCTGATACTGGTTTTTAGTATGACTTGACTTGAACTCTGGGTTACTTGAAATTCAAACCAAATTTGGGGTATTCCCGTGGGTGATCTTTGATCCTATCGCTGCATTTAGTCCCACACACCGTATTGATGCACTTGAGAGGAGTTTTCTTTCATGAATGGTATATCTGTAGGGTTGATGGGGACATTTCCTCTTGATGTTTTGAATAGATTAAATTTCGTGAGAGTTTATTATGAAGTTATGCATTTGCCAAAATCTCTTCAGTTTTCACGCACTCCCCATGCTCTAACTCAAACACGTCTGTGAAAAAGTCACAGTAATGTTAATTTACTGCATCTTAAAAAAAAAAAAGAAGTGTATTTCTTTAGATAAGCTCAGGAAAATAAAAGAAAACACATTTAAAACATGAGAACTGCTTTGGGTTATTCCCTCTGAGCAGAAACGAAGGGACATGCGCCGCGGCGCACGCACAGCCGCAGCCCCCCATTTACCTGAGTTGGAGTCTTGCTGCTTTTCCCGTGTTCGTCTCTTCTTTTTCCCCTAGAAAATCAAAGGAAAGGCTGTTAGTTTGTGCTCCCAGGAGAGCCAGGGTGCTGTGCAGGGTGCTGAGGGCTGGACTGGGCCATCAGGGAGAGCTGCTGCTGCTCAGGTGAGCAGCTACATCCTCAGTGCTGCTGGCTCTGCCTGTTCCAGGGGCACAAATTTCCTCTGGGCATGTACATGGAATAACCCCTCATTTCCAGTAACCCCAGATCCAGCAGCACTGGCATTTTCTCTCATCCCCAAACCACCCTGCATGAAATCCTTGTGTACAGAGAAATAGCAACAGAAACTCATCCCTGCTACCCACGTCCCTGCTACCACCCCCTGCATCTGCTGCATCTTCATCCCAACACGCTGCTCCCCTGCTCCCTTTTTTTTATCACTCCACGCTACAAATGGGTCCGAGATCCCCATTTCCACTGCAGGCTGCCTAAGAAGGTGCAGGAAAAAAATGTTAATGGATGCAAAACCAGCTCTAATAAAGCCTGTGCCAGTGCCAGTGCCTGTGCTAGTGCCTGTGCCAGTGCCTGCACTGCTCAGCACCTCTGCCAAGCCCTGCCAGTCCTCCTCAGCCCACCCTGCTGCATGGCAATCCCACCCATTATTGCTTTAATTAATTAATTGGTAATTTAATTACTAGATTTAACTAGATGAATAGAATTAAACGAGTTTAACTGCACGATCAACAGCTGATCATCCTGGCCTGTTCTTATTCCTCCCCCTTCTTTATGTGTCTAAGAAACACTTGGCTCATTTTAGCACCTTCTCTATTTCCAATGCGTGCTTTCAGGCGGTGCCTTGTACCTGAACAGAAATCGCTCCCGAAGGTGTTACCAGGAGGAGCATCCCCGATTTCAAATGGGAAAGAAAGTTTTAGGAAATCCCCAGAAACTCATTTTTTAAATAATATTTACTTATTTCAGTGCTTTTTCTTCTGTTTTCTTCCCTCACTAACAAGAAAACTCAATTTTCTCCCCCCCCCCAAACTGCCTCTCTTGATTCACAACTCCCCTCATCTCCTAATGAGCTTATTAATGAGGGCACAGCGGCGCAGGAGCAAATCTGGGCTGTTGGAGCAGGCAGCTCACAGGGCTGCCTTTGACCCGTGACTTTTTATATGACTTCTTGTGGTTTGAGTGAAGGTGGAAAGCTCTGAGCTGCGGTAAGCTTTTTCTTCAGTGTGGGAGCAACTGTATTTCCTGCCTGATATCCGCATCATGTTTTGCAGAAGTGACCTACATTCCTCCTCCTCCTCCTCTCTGCTCAAGCTCTGGTGAGAAAAGCATCTCTTCCAACGACCACAAGACCTGAAGCAGCTGCTTGTTGGTGATGAGAGAGCCAACGTTGTGCCTTGGGAACCCACCATCCACTCCACCTTCTGGAGCAAGGAACCAGCCCTTGCCAAGATGAAGGATGCTACAGGATCGAGATTTGGTCTTGGTGCTTGGTCGTGGAAGAAGATGGTGCTTTGCTCTGCAGATGCTGATGTTCTCCAGATGTGTGCCCACTGATGCTGCCACCCTCTGTGAGCCACCCTTGGAGAAACCAGGGCAGCACCAGCATCCAGCACTGATCCTGCAAAGCTGCATATGGATGCTGAGCTCCTGATCTGTGCTTCCAGGGAGGCAGGGAAACGTGGGCTGGGGGCTTCCCATAACCTCTCCTTTTTCTGCATCAACTCTGCCCTGTTTTTTTCTGTTTTGGGATGTTTTTGGTCTATTTAAGGGTGGTTTCTCACTCTTGGTGGAGTCTGGGCTTTCTGGAAGGGTGAGGGTGAGCTGGATGGGTGCTCGTTGTGCTCACAGGGGTAAAAAAGCAGCTGTGAGGGAAATGAGGGAGCCTTAGATCAAAGGGCAGAGCTCTCCAGTGGACAGACCAACATCTGAAGACTTACATGTGCTTTGCTTCAGGTCTCTAACGAGCTCGTTAGGCATGTAAGATCGAAACAGTTGAGAAAGCCACTAGAAAAGACCCGAAGTGTCTCCCGTGCTTTGGGGGCACCACTACACCTATGCAACCTCCTTGAGCACAGTGCTGCTGAAGTGATTAATAGAGCTAAGAAGAAATGTATATTTTTTTTTTTAAGAGTAACCTTTAAATGTTCCACAGAGCAGCCCAGAGGCTTCCCAAGTGCTGGCTCCACCACCACGAGCTGTGAAGCAGCTTTGTCCCTCTGGCCAGCCCAGGAGCTGCTGCTACTTCTCCTCGCCGGTCAGTGTGGCCAGTCCACTGCAGCCCCCTCCAAAAAAAGCCACTCTTTAAAATAAGTCAAGTTGGTTCTCTATAAAAACCAAACAGTTTTTAATCTGCTCACTCCTTGGGGATCAGTTTGGCATCAATTGCTGTGGCAGCACACCTCACTGCAGCCAAAACTGGGGATCACAGGATCATGGAATGGTTTGGGTTGGAAGGGACCTTAAAGATCACCCAGTTCCAACCCCCCTGCCATCAGCAGGGACACCTTCCACTAGACCAGGTTGTTCAAAGCCTCATCCAACCTGGCCTTCAACACTTCCAGGGAGGAGCAGCCACAGCTTCTCTGGGCAACCTGGGACACTGTCTCACCACCCTCACACCAAAGAATTTCTTCCTCATATCTCATCTCCATCTCCCCTCTGCCAGTTTAAAGCCATCACCCCTGTAATTGTCATGCTACAGATAAGCAGTGAGCCAAGAGGATGTTCAAAATACTCCTGAAATGTGAATTTCTAGAGATACCACACTGTCAGGAATGGCATTAGCAGGGACAGGCGGGATGTTTGGCAAACACCAGTTGTCAGCCCCACCACGGGGTTGTTTCTGGCCATGCCATGGGGAGGGGGTTTGAGCCGCGGAGCCGCTGAGCCACTCACGTAGTTGTCTCGGGCAGACCAGCCAGGGTAGAGCTGCATGTGGAGCTGCCGTTCCTTGCGAGCCAGTTCGTAGTACTTGGCCTGCTCCTCCCGGGACAGCGCGTGCCACTGTAAGGACAAGTGTGGTGGTGAGACATGTCCCCACTGTCCCCTCCCAGCCCATCCCACCACAGCCACTCCACTCTGGGGCACATCCATGGAACTATAGAACCATAGAACCACAGACTGGTTTGGGTGGGAAGGGACCTTTCAAGGTCATCTAGTCCAACCCCCCTGCAGTGACAAGGACATCTTCACCCAGATTGGGTTGCTCAGAGCCCTGTCCAACCTGACCTTGAATATTTCCAAGGATGGGGCTTCTACCACCTCTCTGGACAACCAACTCTGTTTAAGGGATAAGAGCACCCAGGTTTGAAAGCAGATGCTTGTTACGTGCTTAAGAGCAGCTGTGAGGGACAGGGATGCTGCATGGGGATGATGGTGCTGAGCCCCAGGTGCTCTTACCCTCCTTCCCAAGATCTGGTTGATGGCAGCGCTCTCCTTCAGGGTGCATTCGGCAATGACTTTTGCCCGCATTTCTTTCATATACAACATGAAAGCATTCAAGGGCTTCTTGATAGTGGGCTTCTTGGCTTCCTTCTCTCTCTTTGGTTCTGGTTGAGGTTTCCTTGGTGAGAGCAAAAAAGGAGCTGTCAGTATCAGAGCCACCCTCCAGCCCAGCCGCCTGGTGACACCAAGCTCAGCAGAAGACTCCACACCAAACCCCACCTGACAGCATGAGTGAGTGGGGGGCCTGAGATCTGCACCTTGGACATGGGCTGTTGCCTGATGCAGGCAGAGCTTGGTGTTCATCCATCCTACCTGCCATGCAACCACTAACAGTGATGATAAATGACCAGGGCATGAAGGTGCTAATGCTACTGAACCCCAGAATGGCTTCGACTGGAAAAGCCCTTTAAGCTCATGGAGTCCAATCATGAACCCAACACTGACAAGTCCTTGACTAACCCATGTCCCTACATCTTCCAACTCACATGTTTCGGTCATAGTGCTCCATCTCTTGCTTGCCGGAGTGGGGCACGATGGCGGGGTGCGGGATGCCGGTGGTGTGCATGCCAGAGCCCAGCATCAGCGGGTGAGTGAACCTGCAACAGAGAGAGGATGAGCCACACTGGGAGGGCTGTGCTGGGGATGCTGGGGATGCTGGGGCAGCCGGAGCGGCGTGGCTCACGAGACGACACTGTGACGTGGCAGAAGCAGACGGTAAGCAGAGGACATGGAAAGCAAACCACCCCTGGATCACCCTGGCCACACTGGCTGGCTGAGCCATGGGCATGTGGGTGGCAAGGGTCTGGGTGCTGCTGTGAGGAAACCAGCCTGCAGTGGGAACCAGCCCGACTGAGATCAAGGGTGCTTTCAACCAGCGGTTTCACCTCCTCAGATCTCTGTTGTTGCAATATGTCATTAACGCTGCGGAAAGGAACAACAAACTCAACGCAGGGTTGGGATGGGAGAGGTTTGGACCACCCCACACCTTTCCTTTAACAGAAATAGCTGAAGTCTGAACATGAACCAAACTGCAACTCTAGGAGGTGCACCTTGCCTAAGCAACGCTCTCCACCAACGCGGGACTGAGATCACGAGAGGTCTCGCTATCTTTCAGGCTTCCTTAGCTCTCTCTCCAGTTTTAAGGGGTAAAGCCAGCCCAGTCAGCTTTGCCAAGCTCCTTGCCACTTTATGACTGCAGCTTGAGATGGCAGAATTGCCCATGGGAGATGAACTATTCATTAGATATGCTGGCACGAAAAGAAAAGGTGTTTAATTGAATCCACCAGCACAGTCTGATCCTTATCTGACCAGGTGTACTTTCTCGGCTGCAGCAGCGCTGCAAAATCCACCCCAAAAATCCTGTGAGTGGGAGCTGCTGTGTTGGGCTCAGGGAGGCTGCTGGGTCTCCGTAGGGAACCGTTACCTCCTCTCTTGCCTTCAAGGCTGGGCACAGTGATGCCTTGGTGAGCAAGGAGGGCTGGTAGAGTTCCCTCACCTCTGCTGCAAGGCTCAAGGGTTTGCACGGATCCAGGCTTGCACAGATCAATGGTTGTGTGGACCAAGCTTGTTGCACGGATGGAGGTTCTTACATGGCTCAGGGCTTGCATGGTTTTCCTGTGGGAAACCTCTGCTAACGGCTCTTTGGGACAACATGAAGCAGAAGCGAAAGCTGGGGCGTGAGCACACGCAGCGTGCACAGGCATCCCCACAGCACTGCCGTCCTCGCCGGAGCCACGGGGGCTTTGCCCACCAGCACACCCAGAGGGGATGGGCTCCATGATTTCCAGCCACAGGGGATGGATTTTGGTCACCAGGACATCACTGGGGTCTGTGTGTATTTGCAGAAGGCAAAATTTGGTCCTGGCTGACCATAAACTTGGCAGTAGGAATGGTCTGGGGCTGTGCTACATGGCTCAACTCACTCGGTATTTCACAGAATCCCAGAATGGTGGGGTTGGAAGGGACCTCTGGAGATCATCCAGTCCAACCCCCCTGCCAAAGCAGGTCCAACTCGAGCAGGTTGCACAGGAACATGTCCAGGCAGGTTTAGAACATCTCCAGAGATGGAGACTCCACTATTATACTAGGAGCAAAATCCTGAGCAATGGATGTCACCCCCTTTTCCCCATGCTGAGCTGCAGGCAGGGGTTTCTGGCTTTGTTTTAACTCCTGCTAATTAAAACCCAATCATTGTGCATCCTCCCAGGATGCTCCATATTCCCCTGAGCACATTTCAGACCAGACACTGCCTAAAGCACCTTCTCTTCCCACGACTGCCCCGGGGAGGGTGTGTGACCATCCTTGGGTGGCCGTAGTCTACTGCAAGCTCCTGCTGCACAAACTGCAAGCTGTGAGACCAGCCGAGCTGCTGCCCTGTCTCACACAGCTCATACTCACCTGGAGAAAGAAGCCCCAGCAGAAAGCGCTGACGAATATGGCTGTCTAAATCCACATGACGGGAGCGGATAGACAGACTGGCTCTGCCTGGGATCGGGAAGAAAGAGTCTATAAAGTATCCACAGCTACGTGGTGTTTCCTAAAGATACCCTCTGCTAAGGGGACTCAGAGATGTCCTGGGAGCTCTGCTTGGTGGGATGCTCAGGGTGTCCCCTGGGCTCAAGGGACAATGTGAGACCTGGACTTTATTTTGGTGGAAGCTCCCTGGAAAGGTTGGATCCAACTCTGACCCCTCCCTCCATCCCCAGAACTGAGTAACACTGCAGCTGTGAGTTTATCCTGTTCATGCAGAGGTGTGCTGAAAAATGAGGAGATGTTGCTATTGCACAAAAGAAGTGGCTTAAAAAAAGCAGAGTTTGATAAAAAAAAATGAAAGCCTGGTCAGAGCATCTCTCTGTGCAGTGCACAAGAGGTTGTGCAGTTGTGGGATGCACTGGGAGGATGCCCAAGCACAGGAACATCCTGGTGTTTATAGAGAAAGCATCTAGTCTGCCTTGTACACACTTCAGAAATGCTCTGGTTTCCCCAGCACATCCCTAAAAGGATGCCTGTCATTTTTAAACAAGCTAAAAGCTCAGTCCTAAATGTTTTTTGAAAAGTAGTTTCATACTGGAGACTGGGCATGTGCCAGACCTGGAGCTGGAAATTATTTTTGAGATAATAATAAAATAACTATGCAGGAAGTTCCTTGTTGTTCCCAGCAAGGGAAACCCCCTTGGTTTTCATATGGAGATAGCTCAGAAATACCTTGGCTTGTCCCACAAACCTGCCAAAAGATGCTCCCAAGCCTAAAACCGTGCAAGATGCCCGAGGAGGACATGACAGGGTGCTTAAACCCGTGCAGATGCTCATGCTCCTCCTGCCAGGCTGCACAGAGCTGTGCCTAAGACCAGCACCACCTATTTTCAGCTCTATAATAAGCCAAAAAATTCCCATTATCATTAAGCACGTTGCTCTGCAAAGGACCAAGCTCCTGGATGCCAGGGATTTTTCAGGGCTAAAGACACTTTGTGCCCTGAAGAAGAATAACACCAGCTCTGCAGCAATCAGTCCCTCGAGCTGTGCTGGGGAGGAAGGTTTGTGTTTCTGCAGCTCCAGGAGCTGCTGTGTCTTGGCTTGACCGAAATCTGCAGGATCTGTCTGTAGGAAAGGCAGGCGAGGCGGCGGGGCTCTGTTTATACCCTGCCAGGCAGAAGCCCTCTCCCACCCTTTAGATGTTGGCGGGTATAAACACACCAACAAACAGCCAAGTGCTACTGAAACAACCTTTGAAGTTGAAGGCGGCTGCCCCAGGGCCGAGAAAACACTCGGAGCTAATCCAGAAGCGACACACGTTACTGCAGAGGCTGAGATATTGGGATAGAAAAGGAGTCGGGCACTCGCGGCTTCATCCGAAGTGATTCTGACGTGTAAATTAATGCCATTGCAAAATCAATCCCCGACGGTGGGGAATGCACGATTACAGCCCGTGTCAACTGCTGAAGGGAAGGTGGTTTGGAAAAAAAAAGACGTGGGATGGTCGTGGAAGGGCTGCTGGTGAGAGACATGGTTCACAAGCTGCTGGGCTGATGTTTGCTGCCAGGCTCCCGTGAGCAAAACTCACTCAACTGGACTCTCGGAGGCTTTTATCCCACTGTCATCCCAGCTAATTACAGAGAGAGTGATTGCAGCTCCTCCTCCTGAAGCACTCGGCAAGAACAAAGCTCATTTCTGCCCAGCTCCTGCCTGCCAGCTCATGGAGGAAAAGCTTTTTCCTGCACGTGGCTGCCCCAGCTCGGCAGCACCAATGTGAACATCCTCGGCATGAGCATCCCTGGCACGAGCATCCCCAATGTGAACATCCTCGGCATGAGCATCCCTGCATGAGCATCCCCGGCACGAGCATCCCCGGCATGTGGTCCCTGCCACCCCCCTGCATGGAGGTCAACACCACCACAAACCTGCTGGGCTTCAACACTTCTGCACCCACCC